AGAACTACTGATAAGATGATGAGTCTCATATTTTAGGCTGGTGTAACATTATGTACAGTTACTTTCAATAACACAATTATTTATATAGACTCTATTATTCTCCATTATTTCCTCCAAACCATGAACGTGTCTTTTAGACCCCACTGCTACAAGGCTGTCATGGCGAGTGGGAGATTACACACAGGTGGGTGACACAGCTGGGAGTAATTAACGAGACGAGACAAGGGAGGTAAAACTGAGCCTGCGTCACATGAGACGCAGACCTTCACAATTAAAACAGGAAACACGAAATCACTACACAAAGACACAGACTCAACACTGAGAGGCAGACAGAAAATAACACATGGAACCTGAACTACACTAAACGTGAGACACAACCGAAGAACAAATCCTTAAACATGATTAAACAGAAACATAGAATTCAAATAATAACCAACAAATCACAAAGGTAACAAAACGATCATCCAAGAATAAACCAAAACATAATAAACTCAGAATGCTGGGTCGAACCGATCCAGAACCGTGACAAAGGCTGCTCAAAGAAGTCCAACAATTAAATAATGCTTCAATCTTAAATATGATCAATCTTTCTCTGTTAATCAGCTATGTACCACAGGGCTTCAAGCTGGTAGTCGTTAAACCACTACTTAAATAGCCATCACTTGACTCAGCGGTCTTAGCTAGTTATAGGGCAATCTCCAACCTTCATTTTAACTCAAATATTCGTGATAGGGTAGTTGTAAAACAGCTAATTAACAACTAAATTATTTTCAAGAGCTCCAGTCAGGTTTATGAGCGAATCACTGTACAGAAACAGTTTCAGTGAAGGTTACAAATGATCTTCTTAACAGTGTTTTATATACTAATATTTTATTTTATTACCTAATATTTTATTACAGCGATTAGAGTTTTTTCTTGTAAATGGAGAGTCCTCTACACTAAGGTTAATTATGGAGTTCCACAGGGTTCCATGCTGGGACCAATTCTGTTTACGTAATATGCTTTTCTTGGGCAGCATCATTACAAGTAATTTTCACTGCTATGCAGATGACACCCAACTCTATCTATCCATGAACCCAGATAATGCACACCAATTAGGTAAACTGCAGGAAGGTCTTAAAGACATAAAGACCTCTATGACTTCAAATTTTCTGTCTCTAAATTTTGATAAAACTGAGGTTATTGTACTTGGCCATAAAACCTTGGGAATATGGTATTTAACCAGATGCTTACTCTGGATAGCATTACCTTGGTCTCGAGTAACAGTGTGAGGAATCTTTGAGCCATTGTTTTTTAAGGATATGTCCTTCAAATTGCATATTAGACAAATATGTAGGGCTTCTTTTTTTCATTTCCACAATATCTCAAAATTTAGAAATATCCTGGCTCAGAGTGACACTGAAAAACTAGTTCATGCATTTATTACTTCTTATTAGGATGTCCTAAAAAAAAAACCTCCCTGACAATACTTCAGCTGATCCAAAATGCTACAGAAAGAATACTGACAGGGAGTAAAAAGTGAGAGCATATTGCGATCTCTTCAATGGCTCCTGTTACATCCAGAATTAAATTTGAAATCCTTCTCATCACATACAAGGTTCTGAATAATCAGGCCCCATCTTATTTTAATGACCTTATAGTACTGTATCACCCCATTAGAGCACTTTGCTCCAGCAAAGCTCTGAAGTGAAGATGTAAGTACAGGCTCATGCAGTACTGTGGAAGACAGTTGAACCATTGGTCATTTCTTTATTATTTGTGAGGAAACTGGAAAATAGTTGCAGTGATTTTTTTGAAAAATGGGAATTCAGTATGTAAGGCAACAGCAGAGTTTGTACAATTCTAATGAGCTTGAAAGTCAGCATTTGGCTTGAACCCCTTTATTCTTCAACACAGACTGGACACTGAGGCAAGCTTTCTTGTAATTTCTTTAAGTGGTCTTTGGGCTTGTTGAAGGACATTCAAAGCTCTTCTTTGGATGCTTGCTGCCTTTTATTCTATTCTCAGTAAAGATGATCCCACACTACTTCAGTGATGTTAAGGTCTTGGTTCTGGGGAGGCTAATCCATGACTGATAGTGCTCCACTGCATGTTTTCTGTTCAGTTATGCAAACTCTGATGGTACTTTTATCCATTCTTATCATCAATTTTGACAAGATCTCCAACATTACTGTCTGATATGTACCAAACCATGACAGAGCCTCCATGTTTTACAGATGGCTGTAGACATTCACTATTGTACCTCATTGTACTATTATATATATTGATGAATATTTGATCCAAAAAAGTTCTTAATTGGATTCATCACTCCATCTCTTGATTTCTGTCTCTGTGCTTCCCCTGTGTTCCTTGTGTCACGTCTCATCTAGTTATCATTTTATGTCTGTGCTTCTCCTGGTTTCAGTGTCAAGTCTGTCTCATGTTTCCTGTTTTATTTTGACGGTCTCGTGCTATGTTAGTGTTTTTAGTCTCATTGTTTGTGATTTCTCCCAGCTGTGCTCTCCTCCTGTGTCTCATTTCCTAGTCCTCCCTGTGCGTATATAAACCCATGTCATCCTCTGCTTGTTGCCAGATCTTCTGCAACCGCTGCATTTCCTATGTCTCATGTCACATGTCTCATGTCTTTAGTTTCTTTATACTTGCTTCTAGTTTCCTCCCAGTTTAGGCTTTGACAGTTTAGTCTGTCTTTCTTCGCTTTTGTTTGTGTTTTGATTCTGCCACAATTAAAGGCACATTTCAGTTAAGTCCATTGCCAGTGTCTGCATTTGGGTCCACACTCTCTCTTCACTCCACAGTACTGTTTACTCGGTAAAGTTAATAAAAGTGTAATATCAATATGACGGTAAAATAAGGCTTATATTTAATTTGAAGTAGATTTATCTTGGATTGCTGTTTCTACCGCAGAAGCTGAAATCAAAAGGTTTCCTAAAAGTTTGGATGTGAGTCTAATGTAAAATTAATAACCTCTGAGTGGCCTTTTGTGAAGTCACAGCCTAATCTACTCGATGCATAGCTACAAATATTTCCCACCACTATCTTCAAAAGGTTTGGCTTTCTTGAAAAGCTGTCGTTTTTGAACATCACTGAGCAATGACATGTCTTATCAAAGCACTAAATGATGTAATGGGTTTTAAACTTTCCAACCTTTATATTCTGCTGATGGGAAATATTTGTGATATTTAGGTCATCATGCTTTATCATTGCATTTTCAGGATATGCTAGTTACACACTTGTCCGTGATAACAGTAAAATCTCTCAGCAGTTCTTCCTTTAACGAGCTGCTTCACTGAGGTCACTCTATTGAAATTTCTAGACTTAGCACAGCTTCCTTAGAGACAGAAAGCAATTTTATTTCGCAGGATTTTTACTGTGTATTTTCACTGAAAATGTAAAATCCCCATTTTATAGTAATACAAAATAAAATGTTAATGTTTGAAATAAATAAATACCAATCTTATTAGTCTACATGTGTACATATGAAAGATGGCAAACTACTAATGTTTAAAGTCTTGCTAAAATTATTATGGCTGAAAGTATGTAAAGCAAACTGTATTAAAGGTATGAAAAATTGCTGTTCTGTAAATTGTCTGATTTATTATGACGCATGATATTATCAGATATATAGGGCACAATTATTCTATAGGGAAAATAAGGCAGAACGCCTTTTAACTTCAAATGCATGTTAGTACTCAGTTGATTGTCTGATAAATACTATGTTCAGTGACACCCCAGTTTTGTCACACCAATTGTCAAAATGTACTTAAGTAGTTGCCAAATCATAGCTTTACCTCGTGAATCTCTAATCTTTCCTTTTGCTTTCACACATCTAACACAAGAGAGTGTGTATTTTTTTCAGATAACTCCCATTACATTGGTTACAACGGTACATTTATATGTTTAGACTCATTTTCATGTGATGCAAATAAATGTATAATTCCTGTACATGATAATGAATGGGGTTACATCTATTGATCATTTCATCTGCTTGTGCAGTGTATTTATGTATGTGTGTATGTATTTATGCATTGTTTATTCATTTATTTATTTATTCATTATATCATTTGATATATAAAGTTGCTACAAGCTAAATGCACTGGAATGCTGCTATGCAAATGTTTGGTTTTAGAAGGATTTTCCCTTTAAATTCTTGAGCTGAAAATATCATAGGGATTTTTTTACATGATGATTCTCTGTGCTTTATAACTTCTCCAATCTTTGCTAAAAAAATTATTTAAATAATAATAATAATAATAATGGATTGGATTTATATAG